AACAAGCCCGGTAACTTTCACCGCATTGAGGAATATCTTGTTCTTTTGCGGCGTGAGTACTACAACCACTTCAAACCACGATTCCTGCAAGACAACCCGGTGCTCCCAGCGGAGATGGATGTTTTGCGGAGGTCGGGAATCACCAATACGATTCAACTGCCCATGTGGGATGATGTACAGGAGGGGTACGCCAAGGAAAATGTCTTTATGCCATGTGAGGGCCACTGGGAGGATCCATTTACGCCCCGCCTATCAACATCGCAGCGGGCAGAAGGGGCAAAATATCTTCGAATTGGCGAAATCAAACCGAATGCCGATCTTTGCATAATTCGCTCTGCTGATCCATTGAATGTGAAGCAAACTGTTGTGGGGGACTGCTCGATGGTATGCAGTCTCATCATCTGCGCCTCCTATCAACAACGGTTTCCAAAAGGGAAGATCATTAGTAACGTCATTTATCCTCAGGACAACAATGGTGATCCCATTGTTAACCCCAAAGGAAAGTACTGTGTTAAGATGCTAATCAATGGCATGACCCGCCTTATTGCCATTGATGACCGTTTTCCCGCAGCCCCGCGTACGGGGAGGTTACTCTGTACATACAGCAAGGACGAGACAGAGTTATGGGTGTCTATCATGGAGAAGGCGTTTGTTAAGCTCTGCGGTGGGAGCTACGAATTTCCCGGGAGTAGTAGCAGCAGCGATCTTTACAAGCTCTCCGGGTGGCTTCCTGACAGTGTTTCGTTTGAGTCCAAAGAATTTGACCCTGAACTTCAATGGAAGAGGCTCTACACAAGACATGTGAATGGATCTGTTCTTATAACGGCGAGTACAGGGACATTGTCAGAGGAGGAGGAGAAGAGGTTGAAACTTGCCGCCTCTCACGCATATGCAGTCCTGATGATACGAGAGGTGGATGGGGAACGTCTCCTACAGCTCAAAAATCCATGGAGTCGCCAGTCCTGGTCTGGAATGTACTCTTTTGATGACAGGAGAGAGAAGTCCAGGGCTCTTCTGGCACAGTTGCAGTACACGGAGGCTTTGGCCGATCAAGGCGTATTTTGGATCACATGGAAGGACCTTTGTGCCCATTTTTCACGGTGTTCTCTCAGCTGGAACCCTTACATGCTCTATAAGATGCCAGACGGCATGTCGCAAAGGCCAACACGATTGTCGTGCCACAGACGCTTCCTATACACAATGAGTACAGGACAAGCGCCGCAGTTTCACATTGGGGTCATCAACGCGCCAAGGCCATCCCGCATGCATCTTGTCTTTGCGCGTCACACCAGCAACGTGGAATCGTTTGGAGTGCAGTTTGTAAAGGATGATCCAAAAGTACCGTATGTGGCGGTAAAAGTTTATGACGTGACGCAATTTCCTTCCATCGCACAGCACCTTGGCGCGTCCTGCAGCTTTGAGACGTGTTACTGCCGTCGTCTTGCGCATGGAACGGAGCTGGAGGCGGGATTTACACCGCTTCATGACGTCTCCTACAAGAACATGGCCGAGCACACATTAAGTTTTAATTGCCCCGCTGGGACAAGCAATCTGCTTGTTGTTCTTAGCCGTATAGAGTCCACAGTGAAGGAGGAATTTAGCTTTTCGCTCACACTGCATACAGAGTGGCCCCAAATAAAATTGAATGGGGAGAAACGATCCCCTTCGGGTGTTTACATGCACTTCATTCCGCAGAGCCAACTCAAGCACTGCACCGTCCGACAAGGAAAATGGGAGAAGGGGGTAAGTTGCGGTGGCAGAACGAGCTTGCAGACGTTTGCGTATAATCCCCAGTACCTTCTAACACTCTCCAAACCATCAATGCTTTCGGTGCGGCTGAACGTTCCGGAGTGTGAAGTGTCGGCGCAGGTGCATCTTGTACGGAAGGAACAGAATCCGGCACGTGAGCAGGTAAAATGGTCGTCCAGGGTCAGTGCCCTCAATGAGGAGTGTGTGTTTTTTTTGCATGCACCGCTGTACGCCCACGGAGGTGTGGTGGTGGACACAAGCCTCTGGAGGTGTGTCACTTTCGACCCTAGGCGACTTCTTGGCGAGAGACGGAAGGAGAAAGAAAAGGCAGTGGCCGAGCCGCCTTCGCCTTTACCCGCGGGTGAATACACCATTGTGCCGGCGTTGTGGGATAAGGGCGTGCCTGCGGTATTTGAGCTCGTCGTGGAAACGACAGAACCGCATGAGTTGCGTGAGATACCTCCGGAGGGGGTCGGCTTTGTGGAGACGACGCTGCAGGGGAATCTGATGGGCGGTGCCACGGCTGGACTGTCCATGTTGTTGCTGCCGCGGACCGATGCTTACTTTTCCAGCAACTGCAAGGCCTGCCTTGTGGCCACGAATCCATGCGTGCTGACGGCACGGTTGTTGCTTTTGCTTGCCGACGACACGAAGAATGACGTTTCTACCAATCTGTCTCTTTTCCGCTCGAAGGATGCTGCAACGATGGAGCGCATCGCATCATCTGGCCCGTACGAATTGTGCGGAGTGGCGTTGCCGCCAGTTAAACTGGATGCCAACGTGACATATGTCCTGGTTATGTCGTCTGCCAAACCATCCCACGCAAAGTACGCGCTGCGATTGTATTCCAGCACGGCCATCAGGGCCTGGCTGCAGTGATTTTCCGGAGGATGTTTCTTTTTTCTCTACCGCTTTGCTAAAGGCCTTTGCTTCCAGTCTTTTTATATTCTTACTTTTCTTTGTGGCGTTTTTTTTGCTTTTATTGATTGTTTTGCATTCTTTGTTCGTGCCGTTTTTTTTTTTTCTCTGCTCTTTTCTGTGGTATTAGCAGCCACCACTGCTGCTGCTGCTGCCGGGATTGTTTATAGCTTTTTGGGGTGGACCTTCTTTTTTTTTTTCTGCGTTTTTTTGGACACTCCGGTGTTGTCCTTGATTCCTTTGCTTGTTTTCATTGGGGGTGGCGGTCTCTTATGCATGTGGGGCGAACACTGGCCGGATCTACCACGCATGCAGGGTGCCGCACGGCCAGCAGTTGGCTTCTGCGACATGCTCGTCACAACCCAAGACGCTGGGAGCAGCCGAGTGTCATCTCGTCAAGGGCCGCCGCGGAAACGATTGTGACAATGCTGTCCGTTGGTGGTAACAACTGCTGGGAGGTGGCAACGGGTCTTTACGCGGAAGCGCTGGCGACGCACTCGATAGGGCGGCGTGGGGAGGTGGCACTGCGTGAGCGGCACATGGCCATCGCGCGTGTTCTGACGGCACTCACGCAAGCAGCAACGGTTGGCATGCTGCACGGACGGGTGGCACGGCGTATGGCGCGCGACGTTAAACCACCACGTGATGACGCCTCCAACAAGGAGCACGAGGCGATGGCCATGGCTTGTGAGGCGATTCTCCGAGTGCTGCTTGCATCGGGTGACTTTGAAAAGGCGCAACTGTGCGCGGAGGGTTGGGTACGAACGAACACTTCCCAAACGGTGGTGAGGCGGGTGATACACACGCTTGTTTCGGAAGCTGCGGGTGGGGGAAGGAAGGAGGAAGGGAGTAGGGAAGAGGAGGGTGACAGCGACAAGAGTGCGGTGCGCCGTACATCTTTGTTTCGGTGCGGGTTTCTGCAATTTTTGGAGGCAGCAACAGGAATACCGGCACTCCCAGCACTGCTCTCGCTACGCACCGAGGGGTTAACAGACCGTTGCGTAGCGCGGTGGTATGCCGATGCGGCGATGCACATAAACGCGAGTTTGTGGACGCTTTGTATTGCGCACGTACCGCCAATGAGTGCCTCGTCGGAGCCGTTTTATCGTGAGCTGCTTGTGTACTGCTGCTCACACCGCCAGTGGCCATTGCCTGTTGCTGCCTTGGATGCGATGCCCAGGAGTGTTCTTCAAGAAAATCTGGCCGATGCGATGCGTTGTTGCCAGGAAGAGTTGGGGGAGGCGGAACGGAGACGCTTGCAGGATGCCGTTTCCACCGTCGTTGTTTCTTCGCGGCCACGCAGGGAGGCCATTTTGTGTCTGGACCTTTTTTCCCGGCAGTTCAGCGGGGGTAATATTTCGCAGGAAGACGTGGGGTGGTGGTGCAATCATCTGCGGCGTTGTTCTCTAGATTCTGTAGATTCTGCGACAGTCTGGATGGCGTTGTGCCAGCGGATTGGGGTGGAAGATTTGATGATGCATTCAATGCCTTCCGCTTCTAGCGTTTTCCCGTTGTTGGTTGTGCAGGCGTCGCGGTCAACGACGGCAGCAGAGGCATTATTTGCGGCTGTGCAGCAGGGCGGCCGTAGCCCGCTGGTTGTGGACGACCTCCCGTGTGCCACTGCGAAGAATCTGCTGGTGCTTTGTAAAGATGACACCAGCGCCTTGGTCGTTGATTGGGTTCTGCGGCACTGCAAGGACCGTGATTATTTGGTTCAGTTTGTTATGGAACCCCCGGCAGGCCATGGTGCTGCGGCCCTCCAAGTGCTAAGGGTCATGATGCAGCCGGAGCACGCGGACGTTTTTGTTTTGTTGTCGTCGTGGCTTCAGAGAAGAAGCAGCACATGGCTGTCGAGCATTGCGTCCCTCGCACCGCGCAATATGCAGTGGGTTGTGGCGTTGAGATGTCTTAGTGGTATGGCGGCACCGTCCATTGCCCATGTGCATGTCGCCTTTTTGACCTTGGCGGAGCCATGCGTGACGCCCCTTTCTGTTGGTGTAGATTTTTTGTGGACCGATGACTCCGTCACATCGCTGCAGGCAGAGGTCAACCCGTCCTTGTGGCAGATTGAAGCGGAAAAGTGGGAAGCGGCGCTAAGTTTCCTGTCTTTTGGTGCAAAAAACATGAATGCCCGCTCAGACTTGCTGCGATGCTACGCACATGTTGTTTCCCGTGCGGCAGCATTTAGTCGTCAAGAACGCATTAGGGTGGAGGATCTCCTCGCGCAAATGAAGATGGAAGAGGCATCAAGTACAGCACTTTCTGCAAGGGAAAAGTTAGCAGTCCTCGTGAGGCGTAAAAAATGGATGGAGGCCTGTTCGCTTGTGGCACAGGTTGGTGGTGGGGCGACGCGAGGTCTGATGGGGCTTCTGGCGCATCACGGTAGGTGGGTGGAGGCGTTACGGGTAGTGGTGAAGGAACAAAAGGAGGCATGGGTGCCTCTTATCATACGTGCCACTCGCAACGCAGGCCATTGGCAGGCTGCGCTGTGGACCGTTGAGAAGGCCGTGTCGAAGAGAATATCTCTTCATTACGCGTCCATTGCGGAACTGCTGGCGTGTTGTGCTGCGGCAGATGTGCCGCTTGAGGCGATTCAGCTGTGGCTTCGTGCACAGGCAGGGGAAACAGCGGCACATGGACTGATTGGGTTTGGGAGGAAAAGCACGGGTGCGGTCACTGAAGGGAGCCTGAGCAAGACGCATGCAGAGTTACTCTTCGTCTTGTTGGATTCGCCGCGCTCGGTGGACCGGCAATGGCACTACGCGTTGCAGTTGCTGACGAGTCATGTGTTGCAGTGCAACGTTTATCCGTCTTCACGTCTCTTTCACACGACTTTTTCAATTTTGCGGAGGGCGGGAAGGTGGCAGGAATCGCTGCGATTGTTGCGATTTCAACATTTGATTGGTGTGCCTGTGACGGCGAAGATGACTCGACTGGTGGCGGATGCGCTTCCTCCCACTAGATGGAGGTTGGCTCTCATCTGTCTGCAAGGCGATCTGCGAGGGGATGCAGGTTTGCTCCGTCGCGTTCTTCCAAAAGTTTTGCCTGTCAGTTGGGAATATGCCTTAGGACTTATATCCGGCCAAGGCGAGGCGACAACCACGGCGATGGAGTGTGTTGTGGGCTGCGAACACGTGCCGCTGCAGGTGCGGTTGCAGACGTGGATGCGCATCCTGCCGTCGCTGCCGGTATCGATGAGGCACCAGGCGGCCCCCGTGTATCTCCGCCTTTCGCTTGCCGTTTCCGATCATGGAAGCTGCCTCCTGGTCGGTGTCGATGGGCTGACGGTGATTGAGCGGTCCATACGGGGATTAAGACACGACTTTCAGAATTACGCCGCGTTTGTGTACCACCGCGCGGTTGTGCATCGTAACTGGTGTTACGCGTCTCTCGACCCTGCGGTGGGTGTAATGGCATTTCGGGCTCTGAGTGAGATTGCAGGGCGGGACGAACAGTGTGAAGTGAGCGAGGCGGCGCTGGAGCAGCTAACAGATCTTGTCGAGCGTCAAGGGCACATGGCAAACTAAAAATGGCTCTCGGGGACCTGCCGTGTTTTCATCTTCATCATCTTTTTTTATTTATTTGTTTGACGTTGACCATCAAAAACACCGCATGGACTGCAATGCAAAGGTCGCTGTTTGTGTGAAGGAGGACGTGGTGGTGATGGCGGGGCTGCCGGCTCATGCCAATGGTGCAGAGCCGTCACTGCCGTGCGCTCTCTTTTTTTTTTTTTTGCTTTTTTGTGGCTTTTTGCAGTGTAGGAAGTCGCCACTTTAGAACACCATGCGTCTTCGCACGGTCCGTTGTCCAGCGGCCGTGTCGACGGCAGCCACCGTAAAAATGACGCGGGCCTTCTCTGAGGCGCGGTCAAATTACGATGGCACCGCCGCACCGCCGTGGCCAGCACCGGGCGAGAAGCCAAAGTACCCCTCTGCTCTCTCCGAGTTCCCGCTGCAAAGGCCGCGCATGCGGAAGACGCACACGGAGTGGATGTTTTTTCACGGCCACGGGGGACGCCCGGGCGTGTACGGCCAAACGCGGGAGATTGCCGATTTTGAGTTTGCCGACGGCACACCCGCCAGCATGAGCGGCCGCCGCTTTGCGTTCAAACACCACCAGGACCATCTGCTCGTGCAGCTCATTCGTGCCGGGGCGGCGGTTGAGCGAAAGGCGGCGAGGGGTCTTTTGCCGCGTGTTCCCGGCACGCCGGAGCAGCGCAACTGGGACCCCGCCATTCCCCTCTTCCTCGAGGACGTGGACGAACAGGGCAGACCACCGCCGTCAGTTGACCGCTCCATTTGCTCGCGCCTGATTGACGAGAGGATGGCGAGCTCCACGCAGACCCCGAATGAGCTGGCAAACCGCCATGAGGGAGAGACGCTGGAGGCGAACACAATGTTTGAGTCCTACGATCCGCAGGCGTTTGTCTCGGATCACATAAAACTGCGGGATGAAAAGCGGCCGTACTGGTCGAGGCGTCGTTGGGCGTTGACGGACAACTTTTTGGTGCCCAAAAGTCCAAAGCCGAAGAACACCATCAAGGACGAGTAAAAAAAATTATTATAATTATTTTTTTTTTTGGGTGGCTGCGTGTGTTCGTGTGTCTGTGCCGCAACGACAAGCGAAAAAAAACATTTTAAGGATGACTGAACCGACAACAGCAACAAAAAAAGGGGGGGGGGGGGGAAAGGCGAAGGGGAGGAGTGCTCGTGCTCTGTAGCGCATGTTTTTTTTCTTTTTCTTTTTTTTACGCCCACCCACCAATTTTCTCTGTTGCTTGTTGTGGGGCATTACATCTTTGCCTTTTTTTTCTTTTTTTTTACGTTTCTTTTGTTGGGTGGGGGCAGTGCATGAATTTGGAGATAGGGCAGCTGCGTGAGCGGAATGCGAGGCTGCGGGAGGAGAACTCGAAGTTGAGGGTGCGGCTGAACCAGGAGCGGCAGCATGTTGCCTCGGAGGGCATGGATGGGGGACACAGGGAGTTGGAGGTTGGCCTCTGCAAGGATCTCATCCGGGAGAAGGAGAAACAGGCCACAATATTAGCGCTTCACGATGAACTCACGCGACTGAACCGCCAGTGCGCCGTGTATGCCGACGCCCTTGAGGAGGCCCGAGGGAATTTTGTGGAGGTGAAGCGGCTCTACGGCGAACTCAATAATCTTTTGGACCACTTCAATGGACCGAAGCACCCATGAGAGGAAGGGAGAGGAAGGGAGGGGCCATTAATATGTACTATTGAGGAACGTTATTTATGAATGACTTGCCTCCATTACACACACGCACACATGTATATTTATGTACATTGAACTTTGCTAATATTATGGACGCAACGGCAAGAAGAGCAGATGTATTCAGAGACCTATTATTTCCCATTGTCTCTTTCTCCCTTTGGCTTCTTCTTCTTCTTCTTCTTTTTTTTTTTTTTCTATACACGTGTAGATTGGTATATAAATATATTTATTTCTGAGCGCATGCTGAAATAAATAAATTAAATATGTTCATTGCAGTTCGATAAATTTTTGTGTTTGTCCTTCTCTTTCTTCCTTCTTGTTCCTACGTGTGTGTGTGGCACGTGGCACGTGGCACGTGGCATTATTCAGGCGCCCAACGACATGTGCGTGCTTTTTTGTTATTGTGGTTAAATATAAAAATATAAAAAAAATATAAATTTGCGTCTGTTTTTATTTATTTATTTATTTATTTGGGCAAAACAAAATACAAACAAACAAACAAAAAAGTAAAATAAAGCAACAACAACAACAACAAAAAAAACAGCCAAAAAAAATAAATAAATAAAAAGGAAAAACAACAACAACAAGAAGAAGGCAATTTATACGGCTTCTTGTGGCAGCCTGGACGTCAATTCAGTGCAACCACCGCAGCCTGAAGAAACCAGTCATGAGGCCCGATTACATGGGCTTCATGTTTTTAACGAGCGCCGTGGTGTCATTTAACGCTGGCATATGGCAGATCTTTCGTCGCTCGGAAAAGAAGCGATTACTTGAGAACCACAAAAACCTCATGAAGCCCGCGCTGAAGGAACTCCCAGCAAGCGACAAGACCGTCGATGAGTTTGAGTTTCTTCCGGTGCAATTGGAGGGGGTACTCGACAACGAGGGTTCTGTGCTCGTGGGGCCCCGCACGATACCGTCGTACAAGGGTGGAGCCACCCAGGAGGAGAGCAAGGGAGGGTTTCTTGTCATGACACCCTTTGAGATTGCCGGAACAAAGCAGTTTGTCATGATAAACCGTGGCTGGGTTCCAATCGACGCGGGTAAACATCGCACACTTTTGGCGCAGTACATTGGCGAGGGATTTGCCCTGACGACGGTGCGTGGGATATTCCGCCGCGAGGAATACCTCACAGCGTCTCTTTTTTGGGGGAAAAACGTCTTGAACGAGGGGCCCGCTGCTGCCGACCTCTCGTGGTTGGCGCTTCGGCCGTGGAACATGGCGTTAGATTACTACAAGCGGCGGTGGGGAACCAACAACGTGGACGCTCGCGTCTCCCAGCACGGTCTCCACCACTACTACGTGGAGATGCTGGAGGACTACTCTGGAGATGACCAACGGATTGTGCGGGGACATGCATGGCCGTGGCGCCGGAGCACGGAAGAGGTGACGTACGTTCACCTGATGCCCATTGTGCACACCATGTACGTCTTATTTTGGTTTTCCGTCACGATTGGGTCACTTTACGGCATGGGCAGGTGCTACCAACGCCAAAAGGAACTGTTTGCACTGCGGAGGCACATGACCGCGCAATCCACGCTGCTTGAAAAAAAGCGTCAGGAGGAGGCTCGGGCGTACATGGAGGCGGTCCAGGAGGTGGAGAGGATGAAGAAATTGGGGACGGCCTCCGCTGCACGCATACCAGCACAGCAGCCGGCTAGCAAATAAACGGGATCAAAACCCTGAGGCGGGACATATATATTCCTTTCTTCATTTCTCTTCTTGGAAGGAAGGGGGTGAAGGGTTGTTCTTGTGGAGTCGTTGTATTGGGACGGCCGTGGTGTGGGGACGCACCGGGAAAACGGGAGGCGCACATTGCACGCCCTCATCCTACATCCTTTTGTACCGTCTTCAAAATGAAGAGGCTGCGGGGGGTTGAAGCGACATGAAAAAAAAAAAAAGGAGCGGGAAAAAAAGAAAGAAAGATGTTTTTGCCTTTTATTTTTATTTTTATTTTATTTTTTTACGCTTCTCTCTCTTTTTCTCTTCTTTCAGGAAAAACAAAAAGGAGAAGTTTACTGGACGGTCGCCGGCAATATTAGGAGGAGGCCCAATGCGTCGGTTGTTTCGTGTGGTGGGCACCAGGTGCGACATGCGGTGTGCGTTCAGCTTCCTCTCACTTATAAACACCCAGACGGCGCTGCAGAACGCGGCACCACTCACCGATGACGCTGAGGGTTTCACTGAGTTTTTTCGTCTGCCCGTCTCGTTGGACGCCGGTGTGGCGGAAAGTGTGCGGCAACACTACAAGCGGGTCGTGAAGGGCATGGAGACCCAGCAAGATAGCCACGCCGTGCGGGTTCAAGAGGAGGAGCAGCGTCGTTGCGAGGACCTTCCGGTGTTTCTGGTGTCGTACGACCTGCGGTCTCGATGCTTTCACTTTTTTTCCATTGAACGGGACCGTGTAGTTGTTGTGGGCTCGCCGCTTCCCGACAGCGCGGAGACGAGTCACAACGGTGGTGGGGATAATCATGGTGATGGCGGGGGCATCGACCTGTCCACGGTGGCGGATGAGCTCATGCAGCACACTCATGGTTTGACGCAGGTGATTCTTCTCCCGCTCGTGGAGCACAAAAAGGAGCGAGACGTACTTGCGCCCTATTTCAAGAGACTTCTCGTGACACTGCGGCAAAGTGGCATCATTCCTGTTCTGCATGTGGACAACCTGGAGATGGCGGAGGCGTTGGACCCGAATCCACCGCCCTTGCGTGAGTTGGTGACGAATTATGCCGTGATCACCCCAAAGCCACTCAGTGAACCATGGTTTCGTGCCCACTGGGTGTACCTGCGCACGTTGGCGTGCCGTATGAATGAAGAGGACCCAATCCGCACAATTAATTTTCTTATCGTGCCTCGCTTTGACGTTTTTGTTATTCACTTGGTGCGGTCTGGTTCACGTGGCCTTAACGTCGTGCTGTGGGATCCACTACACAGGAGACGGTATGCGGCCAGGGGCATGCTTTCCGATATTCTGGCATGTATGCTGGAGCGGCACCAAAAGCGTATCATTCTTCTTCCAACAAATCGAACCGATCGTCCAACACTGCTTCGATGTCGTGTTGCCATGACAAAGGCCGGCCGTCAGTGCCATTTGGTGTTCGCCTCCGAGCTCGGTGAGAAGTACCGCGGTGTTTACCAGTCAGAGCCGTCCCGTTTCTGGACTTTACTCCGTGAAGTGTCGGGGGGTCTCGATATGGACCTCCTCTTTGAGATTTACATCACAGCCGGGAACAATTTCCGCAGATACCACAGCAAACGACTGCGAGAGGGCGGTGTAGAAGCAAGGATACCGCACCGTACCGCGGAGGCAGCGGTCTCTTTGACGAACGCGGAGGTGGAAAAGTGGCTGGGCGTCTTATCTTTGAGTCGTCGTGTAGCGAGGGAGAAGGCGGAGATGCGGAAGTACAAGAAACATCTTTTTATCGCATACGTGACGACAGAATTTGCCGCATACACGCGTCCGGCGAATCCGCATGCCTCAGTGAACTTTGTGGTGGCCGCATCCCTGATGGACGCACAGCACCGCGTGGTGGAGCCATGGACGAAGTATGCGGCCCGGGGGGACTTTAAACTTCCCTCTTTAAACGAGTTTGACGTAATTGTGTGTCATGATGCCAAGCAACTACTTTTGTTTCTGTGGGATGACCCGGAATTGCATCGATTTTTTAAGCGTGGAGGGAGGGTGTGGTGCACAATGCTGGCGGAGTACATTTTGGAGGCCCAGCGATGCCAGACGGGAAGCAATAACTTTCGTGATGTTGCATTGAAGTACGGCGTCATGACACCGCCCTCTTCTGTTCTTGGGGTCGCCACGGTGGATCTGCCACTTACGTTTCTTCGCCATTACCTGATCGCTGCTGTGGATGCACTTTCCACCGTGTTCCGGGAGCAGCTTTTAAAGTCGTGCGAACGGAGCCAAGTTATATGCATCGCCCATCGCATGGACTCTCTTCTCTCCATGGCGGCCATTGAGAATGCGGGTATTCAAATTGACGTGGAGGAGGCCGCTCGTCAAGCGCAGGCAGTTCGAAATCGGCTTTTGGCCACTGACAAGGCTCTTAGTTTGTACGTCCCCAATGAAGTGCCTGTCGATTTACAGAAACTTTTTGATTGGAATTCCCTGCAGCATTTGGGTGCGCTTTTTTTTGGCGGAAGTATCACACTGGGGTACACGGATTCTTCGCTGGAATCCTCCACGTGGACGTCGCACCTCATTCACTTCTGCCACCGGTATGGCAACCTCTCTTTGCTGTCAGCGGATGTTCACCTGCAGCGGTTTGCAAGTGAGAAGGGACTGCGAACGGCAGGACGTCTTTCACAGCGCGTAAGCCAATATCTGTCGAAGGATGAGAGCGCTGGGATGCGGACGTATAGACTTGTTGTGTTTGACATTGAGTCCACTGGCTTAAACACCGCGACGGATGCCATCATTGAAATTGCCGCGTGGGATCCCGTTGAGGCAACGTCCTTCAGTTCGCTCGTAGATCCGGAGCGAGCCATACCGCAGGAGACGATGGCGATTCACCACATCACAGACGGCATGGTGCGTGGGGCGCCGCGACTACCAGAGGTGACACGAGCCTTGGCGCGGTATTTACGCCTTGATGAGGCTCAAATAGATCCCAACGAGGTCGTTGTTCTCATTGGACACAACGTGTTTGCACTAGACGAACCGCTGCTTCGCCGCGCGTTTGAGCGTGAAGGTGTGTGCATGGACAACATTCTTTTCTGTGATTCACTTGTCCTGCTAAAGGCTCTTAAGCGTGAGCTGCAGGGCTCCACGGAGAACCCCCGGGTTGACCGAGGTGTTCTTGAGACGTTGACAACTTCCCTTCGATTATCCTCCTTGGTGGAGGGACTTCATGTAGAGGCGGATGGCCTTCTCCATCGTGCGGACACGGATGCAAAGACACTGTGGTTTGTTCTTGTAAATGCGTTGGGTCTGGCGGGGCGAGATTCTGTGAAGCAACGGGATGCCGTTTTCAGCCATGCCGCACGCACGTTGGTTGTTTACCCCGGCGTCGGCTGTTTTCTCCCGCCGGAGCGTCGACGGGACCGAGTCGTGGTGCGCCTGCCCGGTGTGGCGTCTCAGTTCATCGATAACCCGCGGCTCTTGGCGTCCCTGCGGAGCAAGCCCATAAACGAGAACACTTTACAGGTGCTGCACCGAAATCAGGTGACTGTGGCGGGACTGCTGCTTCAGAAGCAACAGTTGGAACGGAATGCGGCGCGGTTTCTTCACTCCGACCCCAGTGGGCGATTGTCTGTTCTGCACAGTGACGGCAAGGTGAGGCAGCTTATTGACCTCACGGCAACATCAACCTCTCGCACGACAAGCTCATACCCAAGCTGTCAGAACATACCGAAGGACGACAAGTCGCCTATACGGCGTCTTTTCGTATCCCGTTTTGGTGAGAAAGGGCGCTGCGTAGAGCTGGACTACTCGCAGCTGGAGATTGTTGTGTTGGCCCTCCTATGCGGTGATCCTCGGCTTGTGTCCGATCTGAATCGCGGCGTTGACTTCCACATCAAGCGGGCATCCTTTTTCAGCGGGCTCCCATATGATGAGATTTACAAAGGTTACAAGCGTGGCATCCCGGAGTACGTTCAGCTGCGCCGGACAGCCAAGACTTTTTCGTTTCAGCGTCTCTACGGGGCGGGGGTTCCGCTGCTGCATAAGACGACCGGTATTCCCGTGGAGGACCTTGAAGCCTCCATCCGCAAGGAGGAGGAGGAGTACCCTGGCATCATGCAGTTCCACCGACTTGTCCGCACGGTTGCCTTACGGGCAGAGAATCCCGGCTTGCCAACGCATTTTGTTGTGGAACTCCCGACTGGGATTCGCATGAGTTTTAAGACACGAGATGTGGTGCTGAACCTGCCGCCGGTGAAGAATTACCCCATTCAGGGCTTTGGTGCGGAACTGGCCCAGATGATGGTGGGGCGTGTGTTCCGTCATTTTGTGCGGAGGGACTTTTACGGGCAGAAGGCGTTTATGGTAAATTTTGTGCACGACTCGCTGTGGCTGGACTGCCACCTCGACGTACTGGAGGAGTGCATCCGCGAGACGCGGGATATACTCACGGAGGTACACACGTACGTTGCCAAGGCATTCCCAGGTGTGGAGCTGAAGGTTCCCCTGAATATCACAACGCAGTGTGGCGTGGACATGTGCTCCATGGAGACCATCACGGATGATTTTAGCTGTGTCGCGTTGCAGGGGAGGAGTGCAGTAGGGGCAGAGGCGGAGGAGCCCCTCCCGAGCCTCGAGGCGGACGCAGCGGACATCATAGAGAGCGACATGTAGAAGACGGCGGCGGCAGAAGACGGCTGACTCTTCTTTTCTTTTTTTTTTCCCTTTTCCTTTTTTTTTTTTTTTTGTTGGTTCCGTCACCTGTTTGCCTTCCCGTTTACTTGACTGCTTTGTGCCGTTGATGGTGGGCGAGTGAGTGGAGGGAGGAGGAGGTGCGCATGCGGGTCTGAATTGCTGCCGTGTTATGTAAATTGCACGTGTTCTTTTTCTTTTCTGCTTGTCTACACCCACGTTTGGGAACTCCACGCTTGGCGAAAAGAAAAACATCATAGAAGCACTCAGATGTTACGCACACACACACGAAAAAAAAAAAAAGAGTCTCCAAAGCACTGCAGGGTGTCTTTCATGGCCAAAGGGGATTGAGCACCACCTGCTGAAAAAACAAGGGAAGCTGCGTGCCTATTGAAAGGCGAAGAGATTTTTCGTGGCGGCATTTTCGCCGCAAGGGCCGGGCAACCGTGTCGTGGATCCCCGGCCTGAAGACCATCACCTGCAATTACGGCAGGACCCCCGCGCAGGTGACACTGCGTTGGGACATTTAGCACGCCGTCAGCACCGCCCCGAAGCATGTGCCGAGGAATTGTATCGTAATGCCAAAGTATTTGACTTTGAATTGAAGCCGGAGGACACGAAGGGCCAGTGACAGTATGAATGCAAGTCTTTTTGCTGCAGCCCGACCCCGGAGGGATAAATGATTTGCTTTTGGTAAATAATCACAAACTTTTTTTTCTTTTTCCTTTTTTTTTTTTTTTTCTTTTTTTTTTTAGTTTCTTTATGAACGGCATGAAAAATGAATGTCGATGTTGTTTTTCTAACGGGGGGAAGGGACGTGGATGGGGATGAAGGGGTTTCTTCTATTCACTCCCTCCCTTTCTCTCTGTGTAATTGTGTGTGGGCGCAAAGAGTACCGAGGAGAATGGTGAAGCAGAAAAAAGAAGTGTGGAGACGAGGGGTTGTTGCTGCGTGGGGGGCAGTTAGGGGCAGTCACGCCGCTCTGCATTTTGTTTGATTGCCCACTTAACGATTTTGTCTTTTTTTTTTTTTTTGTTGTTCCTTTAAACCGAGTTGTTTTTATGTCAGCAGCCGCAGGGGGAGAGAGTGGTGTCAGCGCACCGCCGTTGGTTCTGCATGGCAGTTACACCACACGATGCGCCACGATACACAGTTCTCTGTAGTTTGTTTGGGAACGGGTAAAGGTGCCTCCATGGTCTATGATGGGAGTTCTAGCCCTGGTTACGTTCTCTGCATGGACGAAGAACCACTCATTCTGTTCGGCGCCGGGTACGGTGTGACGAGACAGTGTCTCCGCTACTTTGGCGTCATTCCCTCCAATATTTTTATTTTTTCGAACCGTTCGCACATGTCCGCCGAGCTTCCGGTCATCATCGCCGTGGAGAGTTGCAAGGGGAGGCGTCTTCGCATTGTTGCTAGCGAGGCGGTGATGTCCTGCATTAGAGAACACCGATTGGCGGAGGTACGCTCGCGGTTAGACGGCGTTAAAGCAGCCAATGGTGATGGTGTCTGTGACTTTGTCGCCATCCCTTCTCCTGTTGTCCCACCGGACGCAAATTTACCGCCGTATCATTTGCCATGTGTGGCCGCGGTGTCGCTGCTTGTGTTCGACACTTCTGCCGCGGAGGCATCATGTGGGGTGTGCGTATCACAGAATGGCGTCCCGCTGGTGGTTTTGACGGGCGATTGCGCCTACAATCCAGTGTTGCACTGCGCAATACTTCGCATGGCTCCTGTGGTGATTCTGGACGGAAGGCGCAACGCGTCACGGGATCATGCCTCCTTCACCGACATTTTGCGCGCTGTGGAGAACTGCGGGGTGGTGCCCCGGCGTGTGTTTATTGGACAGTACGGACAGCCGTGGGAGGCACCGCCAGTGGTGAAGGGCGGCGTCGTATTCCCGATTGTGGAAGGTGCTGTCGTGGCATTGGGGGAGAGGCCTGCCTTTGCCCGCGTTTCAATGGCATCCGCAGTAGAGAAGGGGGCGGAAAACACGGTTAGAAAAGATGAGGATGAGGTGCGACCCACCGCGTGGACGCGTGCTCGCCATACTGATCCTTGCACCCACGCTGAGGTCCGTCCCGTGAAGGTGTTTCTTATCAACAACGAGTCGCCGGACACCCCACCGGCCATTCTGATGGTGCAGCAGCTCCGCACTATGTCACAGGTCAAACAGCGAGTATCTGAACTTCTTCATTTGCGGCCCGTAGGGACCCTTTTCTCCGCAGATACAGGGCAGAGGCTGACTTCTCTCTCTCAGTTCACGCATGGCATGAGGGTGGTGGCCACAAAGATTGGTGGGAGGCCGCTTGAAGATCTTCCGGCTCCCCGCCTAAGCGAGCGGCAACAGATCGCTGTCGTTCCTGAGAAGCATTTAGAGGGGGACAATCCTCTGTCGGTAGAAGTGCGTGAATACATGCAACGAGCGCACCAGGCTCTTCGAGGACGTGTGGGCTACGAAGGACTTGTTTCTGTTGATCCTGCGACCCGTCATGACGACGGTGTGGGTGTTGTATCGAGCGTGGGAGGGCCATGTGCTGGCATTGACTCCCCGTCTCAGATCAGCGCTGAGTTGTCTCCCGAAACGCCTCATGTTATGGAGAAGGTGGGCGTGGCCGGGCGCGACAAGTCAAACAGGGGTGGAACTGCATACTCCTTTCGATTTACGACGCTGGGGGCGTAGAAAATTAGTCTCTTTTTTTTTTTTTTATGTCTCCGTCTTAGCGCTGTTAACTGATTTCTCATCTTTGCTTCTATTTTTTATTTTTATTTTTATATTTCTTCGTCCTGGTCTTTTTTGCTAGGTTCTCTAGTCTCTGGCGTCGCATGTCGGATAGTCAAACGGCGGCGTTCACAGCCCCGCGGAACGCCGTAGTCGACAGTGACGCGTGTTCGGTGCAGGCGGCGCTCTCCCCGTCTTCACTGGGGGGAGGGGGTGAAGCGCACACGGGGGCCTTTGAAGAGCGGCCGGCACGCGCCTTCACGGCGGCGCGGCTCCCAACGGTGCGCCACCGCCCCGCAAATTCCAAAGCCCTTGTCCCGCGATTATCATCGCCGGAAAGGCTCCGCATGAAAACATGCCGTTTGCAGCAGGAGCTGCAGGCACTCCGCCTGCGCCACGAAAGCCGACACGAACGACTGCAGACCATCCGGGCTCGTCGATCTGTTTCCCAGTCGTCATTATTTAGGGGATCGAGTCAGTGCTCTGGCGACACAAATTCCACCGTGCAGCCGAGTATTATCTTGACTGACCGCTCATACTCTCAACGCAGGAGGGATGGGGGGCCCAGCCTGCCCAACCTGCTCAAATGCTTCGAGGAGGCTCGGATGAAGTACTTGCTGGAGGGGGAGCGCAAGAAGAAGGTGATGCCTCCTATTTATTCATCGCAGATACCTCGAAATTCAGAAGCTGCACGCCAACAACAGCAGAAGCAGCAGCAAGACATCATGAAAAATCCCGATGCGTTTGGACGTCGGTTCTTTACTCGTTCCTACTCTAACGAGGCTCAGTGGTAGAAGACAAGAAAAAGAAATGACATCAGCGAAAAGGATCAAACAAACAAACAAAACAACAACAAAGAACGATGACGATGAAACTAGTTTGAATGTAGACAGTACCTATAACTTTTTATTTCCAAAAACAAAACAAAACAAAACAAAAACAAAACAACAACAACAACAAAAACAAGAAAAAATGTTGGTTTGTTCTTTATGCGAAAAGGAATAAAAAATTAGGGGGAGGGCAAAACTTGGAGTTGGAGTGCAACCCCGCCTTGCTAATTTTTGCCTTTATGCGATCCCAACTGTCTGTGTGCCGCCGTTGCCTTTGCCTTTTTTTTTTTTTTTGTGTGTGTGTGTTTGCTTTTTTGTTGGTTCCTTCCTTTTTTTTTTTTTTACTTTCCGTCTTTTTTTGTTTTTGTTTGCAGGACAGGGGACGGGGAGTAGAGTTGCACACATGACGGAGTTGGGCGATGTGTTGACCTGCCGTCTTGTGGTAGAGGACGAGCGAATGCGGCGCCAGCGCGAGGCGTTTGAGGAACAGCGGCAGTGGCTTCTTTCGAAACTTGTGTCCGTATCCCACGACGATGGCGGTGGCGATGATGAAAGGGCTGGGACGAGGCCGGAGAAGCGGCATGAGAAGCGGCCATTGAGGTCTCGTAGCTCCCGTTGTACCGTCGGTGTGCCCGTCGAGGAGCGGCTGCTGGAATACGGGAGGCAGAGAGATGAACGGGTGGAGCGAGCACGCAGAATTCGCCAGGAGGAGGCAGAGATGGCGGAGGCAAAACTCCTCGAGAGGGCAGAGCCAAGGATGCAGAGAGGCACGCGTGCCATTTCGTCCAGTACTTCGGAGACATTGACGCGCAGGCGGGCTCAGAGGTACGAACGACTCATGGAGGAGTCCACCGCAGAACTGAATTTTCATCCCCGAATATCGATTGAGTCTGCGCGTCTCGCGCGTGAGCGGCGGGTAAAGGAGAATATCGCGGACTTGTCTGTCCAAGAGGCTCTGCTGCGCCGCAAGGCAATGGCAGACAAGCAGC